AAAGAAATCCCAACGACCAATCTATCTAAAATTGCAAGAAGACTTTTAACTTCCTTCCAAAAAAATTCATCATTAATTATTTTTTTGATCAATTCGGGTACTTTTTCAGAGTTATTGTGCACCATTTCTAGAACAGCAAACTTAAGTGCTAGTTTATTTTGTATAACTGAATTTAGACATGTCGCCCAAGATCCCCATCTTGTTTTAACCGGAAGTTTTAAAGATACTCGATGACTATAGGTTGCTAATTGATGTCGCCGTAAAATAGCGATTGGAACATAATGTGATCGAAAATATAAGATGACCTTCTTGGCGTTTTTTAAGATATCAGCACACCATGATAATTTCAAAATATCACTGGCCAAAATATTTAAGCTATGTGCAACACAGCCCAAAAAAACAATTCTAGGAAACTTTTTTTCTAGTAAACACCACGCCTTTTTCATTACGGAGGCGTTATCAGTAATTAAGGCTGAAATTTTTGACAGACCTACTTCAATGATCACTCTTTCCAAATCTTTAGCAATCGTTTCACCGTTTTGTCGCATTTCACCAGTTGGATGTGCAGTAAAAAAAACTGGATCAGGAGTTGTTAAAATGTAATTTGTCCAATGTTGCTGTATCAAATCAGACCATCCATCAGATACAAGACACATGATTACATTGTTATTAACTAATGCTTCAACATCGTGCTTAGTCTCATTAAAAACATGATCCAACAATTTTGTGGAAAGTTTTTTTCGGCTAGGAAGCCTAAAAGCTGGTTTGGCTTGTTGTCATGAATCTCTAATGGGTTTCATTTCGGATAGCGACAAAAAAAGACCACAGCGAAATACAGATTTCGCAAATGCTAGTTCAAGAGAATCTTGTTCTCATTTTGAAATATAATCGGCAGCTACTGATGATGTTGAGGTAGTTGCACTTACAGACGTTTCATTGTCACTTTCTTCATACGAACTTCCAAAATAATTTTTTTTTTGGATCAATGTTACTTTAGGGCATTTTCGCAAATGAAAACGTGCTGGTCTAAGCGAATCATTAATTTGATGCCCACATTTTTTGCATTGTCTTCTTCTTTGCTTATACCCAGCCACATGCCCCAACTAACTAAAATACTCCCATATGGGATCAGGTAACGGCATTCTCAATTTGAGTCTTACAACGACTATTAAAGAAATATGTAGACTGATGTAAGTATCATGTTTAACATTAAAGTAAATAAATAATGTAGTTAATAAATACTTTTTTTTTGGTAAAGAATCTCTTAAGCTTTAAATATTAGCGTGATAAATAATAAATAAATTATATAGCATGAGCGATAAATAAATAATATAGAGCGAGAGTGACTTTAAAATAGATACCTTTAATTTAAATTTTTTTTTTTGTTTTAAGTATTTAAATAAAAAAGTTCAAAAACAGAAGCAAATACAAATATTGTGTATGTATATATTAATCTCAATGTTAAACTAAAAAAAAAATGACAATAATAATAATAAATAATATTAATGTAAATACCTTCAATTACCTTCAATTTTTTTTCACACGCAAGATCAAAATCAGTCTTCCAGATCTTGCAAAAACGAAATCAGTTTCCCAGAACTTGCAAAAATGAAGACAAACAGAAAAAAAATTACAAGTGCACGTAATCTAAGTGCAGGCTTTTGAGTTTTATCTTTTGTGCATATGGAAATATTTTACTTTTACTAACGCTAGCTCTTACTAGTGCTAACTCTTACTAGTACTAGCTCTTACTAACACTAACTCATATTGACTTTCGCTTTTACTTTCGTAAACTTACAGGATTGGATCAT